TTTTGTTTTAAAAATATTTGATGGCGAGGAACGTTTTTGTTAAACCTGATTCCAAATTTATAGAATGCAACCATGTTTGTAATTTACAAGCAAAGTCCTTTAGTTCTCTGCGAGCCAAGGATCAAATGAACTTCAGTGACTTTTCTGAAATAAAAAAATTTCGAGCAATCGAATGTTATTTTGTCCTCTCTGATTCAAAGATCAAAAATACAGACTTGAGGCCATTTAGCTGATAACACCTGCAATAAAATTGTTTCTTCTTTGTACCTCTTAAGAGAACTATCAAACTGTCAAGTGAACATTCTGAGTGACCTTAATATCAAATAAGCAAACGTCAAAGTAAAAACCAATATGAGAATTTACACAGCCGTTCACCTTCAACGATTTAAACTCGGCTAACCCGAGATTAAAATTTACTCTACAAATAAATTTACTAACTCGGGCTTAAAATTACCCTAGTAATAAATACATTTCAATCTACATCTTGCCTGTCAACATATTTGATTACACTACACTGATTAAACCGGTATATTTGCATTTCGAACTTCAGACCGATTCTCAAAATTGGACAATTATTGATCTGAAGACAGTGCTGCAACTGTAGTAAATAGTGAGCTCAAATTCCAATTCAAGGCAGCTGCTTTGACCTCAAAGAGTTATCCGAGTCTGGCGAATGATAAAAGGTGAAGAAGCACACCAGGCAAGTAGTGAAACTTTTTATATATTGTTCATCTTATTGATGGGGTGGAGAGATCTGCAAAGGATTAAAGGTCGATACTTTATAAAAATTCAAAACTTCAATTTTTCTCAGACCGAACAAATTAAAAAAAAAAACACTAAAAGAACCTCTATTTCGAACAAAACGCTAAACGCTAGATTCGGCGGACAAAATTACAATGTGTTTGAAGACTTGTCACTGGATTCCAGTGACATACACTCACCAGATTGTGCGCCTATCCAGGGCACAGTTTGGCCTTGTAATATAGTACAAAACAAAAATAATGTACAAAATTTCAATTAATTTTCAATCGAATCCTTGTGACGATTCCAAAATTAAAAGGATTGCCAGGAGTGAAAACTCTATGAGGAAATAGTTTCTTCTCGCTAGAAAAAATGAGAAAAAAAAGGTTCTGTTTTTTAACCTTTATAGAAAACTAGTTGGAGTAAAAGTCACCAAAAAACTAAGTAACTTTCCACTTTCACAAATATGCAGAATGCTTAGCGTATGTACAACTTTAGATTCTTCAATTTGTAGAACGATTTTTATTTTTCAATTGGCCAACATCAGAAGATAATTGTAGATAATCCTAACCCGGGTAACAATTTAGTTTTCCTTGTATGCATGGGATGGTTTTAGCATGCCGACTTCTAAGTCTTTTCCTTGTATTACAAACCAAAACGGTTTCATTTGCCTGTCCTACAATTAAATAGTTATTGATTTCCGCAGATAAGGCATTTCTCCATAATACTTTAATCATCATTTTCGAAATATCATAAAAATACACTCTTTTACATAGAATAAATTGTGCTGAACTCGTAAGTGACATATTCTATCAAATTATATTAGTTTTTCTAACGAACCGTCGCTGTTTTTGCTGTGCTTCCAATAAATCCGTTTTGTTTGCTGTTCGATAAAGTAGCACTTAAATTTGATAAAAAATAATTCAACAAAAATAATTTTTAACGAGTTTCTTAGATTCAAGATGCTATCTCAAATCAAAATAAAATCGGTTGTCGGTTCGTAAGAGTTATTTGATGGCTTAACAAAGGTAAATGAAAACAAATTCATCAATTGTCGTTCTAAGAATGTAAGCTAAAACGAAATTATCTATTTTTAAACCCTCTTTACCTCAAAAATCTTAGTTGCCGCAGGATCTTGAGAAACCGAGTTCCCTAAAACTTACTTAATTTTTCGAGCTGCTCATATTTTTATTCATTGTTCGAACAAAATGAGAGAAGATTATTCAAAAAATTTAGTTGGGATTCAAGTTTTTAGCCTCTACTTTTTGAATAATTTCTCTTTTTTATTAACAATCATCAGGTTCATATCATTCCTGTAGAAGAAAGAACTATTCAATTATTAAAAGGTTAAAAATTTGAACGAAAATTGCGCACTTTAATGAACAGCTGATTTATTCGGCAGCTGCTTTATTAGGTAACTGATGATTCCATACAAACCAGCGAAAAAAACGGGCGAAGCCAACGGTGTCTCCTGAAATGTCCCAAAATGCACTCACTCACTCAATGTTCTTTCCACTGTCCATTTTCCAAAAAATGATCTGAGAATATGAATATCTAGATCGGGGCTTCAGATCAAAAAATGCGACGTATCGTTTAAAAAACACTGTAAGCTTTTTGGAATGCCGTTACCTTATACCATTTGGAAGACACCAGAAAACTAGGAATTTAAAATCTACGACGAAAAATAGAAGAGTTTGCAAAAATGTTCTCAACTTTTGACCCTTGCCTATCCAAGCAAGTACGTTAAATTAGCATCAAAATTGCAATTGCAGTTAGGGAAAAGTCTTATTTCCGATTTGGTAAGAACTGGTAACCGCAAGCGTTAATAACTCAAAAGGCGAAAGGGCAGCAATAGACAAAAAAATCTTTGTTCTGAGACAAGAGCAAGCTTGAAGAAATTGAAAAGAAAGAATACAGGAAAGTTAAAAAATGCTTAAAATAAACAAGACTGCTCGTATCAGGGCGAAGCCCTGAATCTTCCGACTACCTTTAAGGTTTATGGAGCAGTAATAACATAAACAACATAAACACATTAAATGAAATAAAATAAAACGAACATTTTTATTTTTTAAAATTTGAAATTTTTTCTATGAATATCATCCCCCACACGCCATATAAAGTACAAAACAATAAGTTTCGCTTCTAGTTACAAATCAATTAGGCAAATAAGCTTCTTTCAACCAATTTGGAACGATTTCTAAGACGGATTAAATCTCCGCTTACGCGTTAATAGCACGAAATATATCGCGCGTTAATTGTCCCAAATTGGCCAAAATGGCAATCTTTAAACCCCCATAACTTTACGAAAAAGGATCACAGGTGAAATATCTTTTCAAATTAAAGCTCAGGACAACAAAACCTTTTGAATGATATAAAAAAATTCCGTCAAAAATGGCTAGTTAAAAAGTGGAAATTTGTCTGAAAAAAAAACCCACCCCGAGCACAAATATTCCGTTACTTTCGCATCGAAAGTCGGAACAATAATAATAATACAAGACTATAAGAACACAGAAGCGACGCTCCGCTTCTGCTAGCATACGCGATAAAAAGAAACAAGAAAAAAATTGCTTGCTGCAGATAATTTTTAAAAAAATAGAAGCTGCTTCGAAAAAGAACTCTCTTTGACCAAACAAATTTTGACCCCAGGATCCTGATCACAAGCTAAGTTTTTTACCACCTGGGACTAAATAGCTACTATTTGCTCCAAAACGGCTCAATATAAGCTTCCATTCACTTCTACGCATGGCTTTTAAAAAATCAGAGCTCAAAAGCCGCCCGCAAACTATTACATGCATACAAGCAAAAACAATGCAACTGACTTTTGTTTTGTATAAAAAAGTGCGTCTATACGTCAAAAGGCACTTTACCTTACACTCAGCCTAACGTTTTGATTAAAAACGACTTCGCCGCAACGCAACCAAGAAAGTGAAAAATTAACAAGACGAAAAATTTTATCTTTCGTATCTTTCAAACAGTCATAGTTTTTGACAGCACTCAAACTTAATAATCAGAGAACACGCTCCACTCCCCAACGTCAGTAGATCTTATTTGAACAATCAATCAGTTCTATAAATGTTGTGACTGAATTTCGATTAAGTTCGGTAAAGATCAGATTAAGGCAACCTTTATCCATAAATAACCCATCCGGGCTTTTAGTTGCTGAGTTAAAAGTGATCAAGTTTTCAAGTTGGCAATTGCACGAAGAGGAGACTAGCCTATAAAAAATTGTAAAGTTTTGAACCCAAATTTCAATTTTTATACAAAGCACCAACAGAAGTACGGAATTTTTTTTTAAAAACATTACAAAAATAAAATTAACCCATAATTTTTGAAATAAATGACTGCGTTTGTTCCAAAGAACAATAGACAATCCTTAAAAATCTTTAAAAGGAGATTAATTTTTTTTCTGCTTTCTTATTCGTCTGCCCGTTGCTCGGCCTCGGTGGGTCGAGAAGGAGAGACATAACAGCAAGTTCGCCCAAGTTCGGCAGAGCAAGAGATTAACATGGCAAATATGAAACTGCTGCTCCCCTCTCATGTGTCGGTTCAGCTGAGTTTATTGGACTATCTTTCATTGTATGATCATTTGTTTATCCTTTTTGGCAACCATACAGTTGGATTTCTAATTTCAAACTCAATTCGGAAGAATTAATCAATTACAATTCCATTAACGATTTTCTTTGTTTTTTTTCAAAGTCATTAGTTGCGGATTACACGGAACATAAGGTACGTTGTAATTAAATGATATACTTGCTATATCTGATAAAATGAAAGCGTAGTATCTTTATTGTTCCGACTTTCGATACGAAAGTAACGGAATATTTGTGCTCGGGGTGGGTTTTTTTTTTCTTCAGACAAATTTCGACTTTTTAACTAGCCATTTTTGACGGAATTTTTTATATCATTCGAAAGGTATTGTTGTCCTGAGCTCAAATTTGAAAAAATATTTCACCTGTGATCATTTTTCGTAAAGTTATGGGGGTTTAAAGATTGCCATTTTGGCCAATTTGGGACAATTAACGCGCGATATATTTCGCGCTATTAACGCGTAAGCGGAGAGTTAATCCGTCTTAGAAATCGTTCCAAATTAGTTTAACGAAGCTTATTTGCCATAATTGATTTGTTACAAGTAGCGAAATCTATCCTTTTGTACTTTATATGGCGTGTGGGCTGATGATTTTTATAAAAAATTTCAAATTTTTGAAAAAAAAAATTTTCGTTTTGTTTTATTACTTTTAATTTTTTAATGATATTACTGCTCAATAAACCTTAATGGGCAGTCGGAACATTCAGGGCTTCGCCCTGATACGAGCAGTCTTGTTATATCTCGTTGTTGACAACATTGCCTGAACTTTTCATTTTTTTTAACGCAGCTAATTTGGAAGCACGCATTTTCCCTATTAACATTGGAAATCATTTCACGCAAAAAATTAGATCTAGCAAAAACGATATATCCACGCGAACGATAATTGTATTTTAAACGGTTCGACTACGATCCGAAATATACTTTCATTTGAACTCATATATTTATTTGTACATATTAAACTAAGAAAACTTCAAAAAAGCCCGTTTCAAACTTTAAGACTTCGCAGAAGTCTAAGCAGTTCAAACCTAGACAGGAAAGGGTGCAAATTAAAATTGAGCATTTCTTTGTAATTTTGATCCAATTCGACTGACGGGAATTAATATATACCACTCGACCCATTTGTGGTACCTTATTTTGCTTGAAGAGAGTAAATAAACAAAAACTAAAACAACCCCGAAGACAAGTTCCTCCACGCTGTCAGAGAACAATATTGCTCAAGTTCAGACCATGGAATGAAAATGAGCTTTGTTTTCGAGGTGTTTTTCCGGGAGCCACAAAGACTACTTTCAGAAAACAACTCGAAAGAACAAAATATTGAAATACAAAACCATTTTTCTCATTTTTTTAATTAGATTTTTTTTGATAAATGAAACTGCAAACAAATCTGTTCCACGTGCAATGGATACATTTTGATATCATTGGTCAAGGGTAGAAAAGGCTGATAATAGAACGCTGATTGCGGTTAAGATAGAAGTACGAAAAACAAAACAAAAATTGGTCTAAAAAACAAAATACACAAACCGTTTTTCCTCGACACCGCGATTTTTTCGGATTATTTAAAATCTAGCAAATCACGACTGCAGGCGCTTTGAAACGAAAAATATCCTGACTTTGGGCCCGTCTTTACAGTTCTTGATTGTGCGTAGAAAAATATACGAAACCTCATTGTTACGGCCATTTGAAAAATGGGGAGGAACTTTGTATTCGGGTGTGTTCTAGTTTTTTTGTCTACGCGAAAACAAATACCACAATTAATCATCGGGTCGAGTGATATATCAATTTGAAGCCTTTTCAGTCATGATTCGAACGACCTCTAGAATTCGGCATCTAGGAAAACTGGTTGAATATTTTTGATTTCTATTTGAATTTCGAGTGAATAAAGCGAGCAAGCAGGCTTACAACAGCTTATTTATGCTTCATTTACGCCCTGAATACTTAGTTTTGAGCAAGTAACGTTAGTTTAAAAAGTTTTTTAGCGCCATTTCGGGAACCAAAACTTTAACTTCAAACAAATTTTGCAAAAAATTTGAATTCTTTTATTTTTGCTTTTCTAGCCATTTTTCTCCAACATTTTTGTCCAATTTGCCAATAGTACTATGACTGCACAAATTTCTAAATTATAGCTTTATGTCAGATCCTTTTATCACGCCGCGCAGAAAAAAAATTACATTAATTTGAAAAAATACTTTTTTTGTAGTGTAGTTTTTTAAAGACTATGGTCGGAGCATTCTGTGCTACTTGCAGTTACTGGCTATCCTTGTTTACTTGAAGCCTTTTCGGTCTGATCACGTGGTCGGAACAAAAAAAATGAAACTTCAAATAATGCAACTACCTGACAAAGCCATCTATCCCTATTCAATTCTTATTTTCCCCTTTTTCAAATATTTTTGAGAAAAAAGCGTAAATTTCCTCTAAATTTAACAGCCAAACGACACCTGCACCTTAATAAACACCTTAAATAAACACCTTAATTAAGTTCGCCCACTAAAACATCTTGAGTCGCCTTACGTTCCACCCACCGAACTAATAGATAGAATTCTAATTTATGTGTCTCTTAAACTGGTCGAAAGATTATCGGCTCCAATAAATTGTCAAAAGATAAAAGCATCACCTTATTTTTACAGAATTAAAGGCCAGCAGAGTTCGAAGAAAACGATATTCGACGTGAACTTCTTTCAATTTGAGACTAGCTACAGGCTATTGATTGCCTTTATCAATTTAGGCAATCAACTAAACCTATTTGAAAGCGATTAACAATTTTCAATTTCGACTAAGTATACAATTTAAATGCGGGTCATCAAAAGGAACTAAACATTAAAATTAACAAACTAACTTTCACTTTCAGCTCATTTATAATTTTGAATCAGTTGCACAAATAGTCTAAATCGTTTAAAAAAGAATCAACCACTTGGTATTAAAGATGCAAAAATTGCAAAAAACTGCAAAAATCAATTGTCAAATAGAATAGCACGAGACTAGTAAGTTTATCAGACAAACAAAACAATGTGAGTAACTTTTTGTGCATATTTGGACTTTTCAGTAAATACATCAAGATGAAGGTAGGTCGGTTAAACCAATAAATATACTTTCACAAAACTCGGATCACTGAAACAAATTTCACGGAAAAATTCAATGCTTTAATTACGCCCAATACTCTTCCGCACAAAAAAAGACAATATAATAAACTTCATTAAGTTTTACTTAGATTCACAAATGAATCTTAATGAAAAACTGCCAAGAAAATCATATTTCTAAGTAGAAAAAACTTCGTTAAACAGACTAAAATTAACTAACGAAAATAACCAGAGTCATAGCCCGCGTGACGTAAAATTCAGAAAAAACCCCTTCCACCCACCATTTTCACCGAAAATTTCAACGCTTTACGTACGCCCGCTTAAAAAAGACAAACGAATTAATTCAATTAATTCAAACTTAGCTTCACCCATGAATCGTAAAGAAAAAACGTCAAGAAAATCATACTTCTAAGCTTCCCGAAACAGACAAACTACCGAACGAAAAGAACCAGTGACATAACTGAACGGCTCGGGATTTTTTAAGTGCTTTTGAAAAATAAACAGTCATAGCCCGATTGATAGAAAGAAGTCGCAAAACGAACCGCACTCAACCCAAGCAGAAGCCCTTTACCTTTTTAAATTTTTTTTTACCATTAACAGGTAATACTCTTTGAAGCCCATTACTGGCGGGCAACTTGCTAGAAATTTGAAATTAATGGAACGAAACAATTTGCAGCTTGGATTATTTGGACTCTTTCTCCTTTCACGCAATAGAACTAATTAGAAAAAAATTCAGTATTCACCTTGTTATTTTTGTAATTTTAAAAGAACTTTGAACGCATTCGTTTGTCATTCAACACTAAGTTTTAAAAGAAAAATTTGATTATGAAGAACTTAGGGATCAATGCGTTCAACATCTCAACATCCAGACCAACATCTGAAGGCCAACATTTTCGGTTATAGAATACATTGAAAAGCATATACTTTAAAACATAGCATCGAGATATATAGGAATGTAAAAAGCAAAAAATGGAAAATATTATTAATTGGTGGCTAGGGAAAGCAGAAAATAGTAGAACTGAGGTTGTAGAATCAAACCCTCTGGATACTTTACGACACGTTTGTGTAATTGTGGTAAGTTTTATCATATTCTCTTTCACCCAAAAATGCGTATGAGCCGATATTTAATTTTCAAATGTAAATAAAGTGATTTATCGGAACGCATTTTGAGGTATTCAGTTTTCTTTGCTTTCAGGAGTGCTCTATGATTATGAATCAATTTTTTCAAAAGAAAATTAGTTACTCAGAATTTCGACAAGTATTGAATATACATGCTTGGGGTATTTTTTCTTCAAATTTATTTCGACTCTTCGAGTATTTTTTTCTGCGTGATATTTTTAAATAACTTAAATACAATTTTCTTTAGCTCAAAGCAAGGAGATATTTTGTCAAAAAAGCAGTGGAGCCAAGTTGACAATGCGCGCGGGATAATTAATTCGAGCGTAATCCCAGTTTCTCGATTAACGTGTTTAGCAGGCCGTGAATCAAATCCATTAAGAAATCATTACAAACTGAACTGATTCAAGCTAATACTTTAATATGCACAAATATAAGTTGTATTTGACTTTGCATGCGCGGAAAACAATTCAATTTTTTTAATGAAAATTTAATCAAAATCTGTTTAAATCGAATGCTTGTCCAGAGACCGAAAACTCAAGACCTTGATCTAACACGAGCAGTCTTTATGTCGTACAATGTAGCAAGTGTAGATTGCTTTAGAAAAACGATCAGTTTTCTTATTTCAACCACATTTCTCCAACTGGCTATCTGTTTCTTAGTTTGTGATCAAAAAGTTCCCTCTAAATCATTTAATGGCTTTGATTCTTTGGTACTAGTTTACTTGTTTGGTCCCGTGACAAAACTAGTTTAGATGATTGGTCCCGCCTACTTTCTGAAAATAAGAGTCAGCACGGGATTTGAACCAACGCATTGGGGTCGATTACCAGCTAGATTAATTGGGCCAGTTTCGACAGCAATATAGAGAAATAAAACTGCTTACTGTTAGAATTAGCCATATACTGTACCTCGGTTTTCATTAGGGACCACAGCATTTTTGAGAGACCAAACAAGTAAACTAGCACCGATTCTTTCACAGATTGTACAAGAGAGAAGAAACTAAAGCCCGGGCAATTTTTACCCAAGGATCTTTAAAGCCCCTGAAAGAGAGCGCTGGCAGATGCTCGAGTCTGGTATCATACTGAAATTATTTTGTTCCTATTTTCATTCCAAAAGTATTCGTTGCATCAAGAAAAACCAGTCTGGTTTTTTGATAGACTTTCGACTTTTTTGGGTTATGACAGTAAATATCCTTCCCAATATAAAGGCTTTGTATGGTTGATAATTTAAAAACTTCAGCAGAGATGAAAGCTTTTTTCCAACCATTGAAAATGAGGAGTAACTTTGTCTTCTAGTGTGTTTTAATTTCGTCGTTTTTTTCCACGCAAAACCATGTACCACAAATAATAAGCAAAATGGGTCGAGTAATATATCATCGTAAAGCGCTTTTATTCGTGATTCGAACGAAATTTTAAAAATACGAGAAAAAACCGGTTTTGAAAATCAGTTAGCACAACTGATCATCGGAATGAGTCAAGTGATATATAATACCAAACCCCTTTCAATCGTGATTCTAATGACATTAAAAACTTTCAAAAACTTTTCCGTGTCGAGAAAACAAGTTTGAAATTTTTGAACTTCAGACTAATGACAGAAACGTTTTCCTTAAACCAGTGAATTTATCCTTTAGTTTTACTTCAGGAAATATAGTCTTGAATGCTTTGAAGATTTTATTGAAAAAAATAAAATGATTCGGCGAAAAATAGGAACTTTTTTTGCCGTCTTATCCACAAAATTCATAAGGATGAAAACAAATTTAGAGGGTATAACCAAAAACACCCGATTATATGCCGACCCTTTACTCCTCAGGAATCTAAATCCTTGCCACTCAAAGGGTCCCTAACTTTGGTATAAATTCAAGACAACTTTTGGACGACTGAACAAAAAAATTTTCTAATGACGCCAATATATACCAATTTATAGCAAAACAGGGTCTTTATAGTGGTTCTTTTTGTAGAGACGACTTAGGGAAAAGGCCGTCAACGTTTTTTTGAAACAGCCTCCTTCCATATCCCCCCTATGGGTAATCTTAATTTTCCATAGGGTATATTTGAGATTACTAAACTTTCCATAGGGTAATCTTAATTTTCCATAGGGTAATCTAAACTTTTGAGCCGGGTCTACTTATCGACATCCAATTTTTGATTAACCAACCCTCAAATTTAAAAACACGCACAACTTTGCTGAAAACATTTTTTAAGCAAAAGACCTAAAACGTCATTTCTGGCCTGTTTTTTTTATTTCAAAAAAAGGGCCTTTAAAGGGTTTAGCGTGGCTATGAAAATCAAATTGATCGACAAATGATCAACACGTACTTAAGTTTCTCAAAACTAGTCCTAGCGAATTAATGGATGTCCTTATTAATATCAGTAATCAAAAGATAACACTTGACATTTCAGTTTCAGGCTATTCACTTCATATACAATTTGACATCACTCAAACCCTATTCAAGGCTAGAAAAGGTTGGCAAAATGCTTTCTTTGCTCCCATTTCAGGCTTTTATTTTATGCCTGGTCTTGAGTCTTGCCCCCCTATTGACTGCGACCAAGGGGAGCGCCCCACCCAGAAGCGTCAGCGGCGAACAGCGATCGTCATCCAATCTCAATCAGTCATGCAGAGAACCACTGAAGTACATTCAACCAGCCCCAACTCATTACAATTCCGGACCCAAAGAACTGAAGATTCTCTATACCGTTTCGTGTCACAAGGGACATATAAACCCAAATGCTGCGATTGCCCGAGAATTGGTTTCCCGAGGGCATCAAGTCGACCTTTTAACGACTGGTCTGTGCGGTGAAACGGCTGCTCAACTAATTCCAGGTGCTCACGACATCATAGCACTGGATATCCACCCTCAGAAATGTCTGGACCCTGGTGACTTTTTGGATATGATTGCATCTGCCAGGGACTTGTACATTGAACGACACACCAAGCAAGCGTACAACGCCACTTTAGAACAGCTAAGACGGAGGAGTTATGACATTCTGGTCGGCAACTTTGTGGTTCCGGGAGGCATCATTGCCGCAAAGGTCTGTACTTGAACAGTTTTTAAAAAGTCAAATAACTTTCCCATGTTCTATTGGTTAGACACAAGCCAATCTCTCATTGTCTGCTCTTCAAAATTTCAAATATTCGACTTCATTTCTCGTCTTTGTTGCTGAATTCCCACAGGCTTGGATAAACTTCTTGTTGTCAAGTTTCAGGGAGCGGTAACGAAGCGTTAAGAGCGGTCATGGTTCAAAGCAAGGGTGTCCGAGATTCAACGTGAATTGTGGTAAATCCATGAACAGGTGAGTATTTCCCCGCCCAGAAAAAAAAGTATGCTAATAGCATTAAGGAAACCTGAGTCACTGAATCTTGTAGCCCTTGGCTTTAAAAAAAAATCATCATTGAATCGAAATTTCAATTAACTTCTTTCATTACCCAAAAACCATTATCTTTCATTATGCGACTCAGCAAAAACAAGCTAGGAGATTGTTAATGTAGCGGTAAGGTCTTCAAAAATATTTGCGAAACCCTAACTCAGCAGCAAAACGATACGATTACAACTAAATACGATTATAAATCAAATTTTCAACAAGATCCTATTCATGAAAAGCGGACACTCTCATTTAGCCATTTAGGATCAATCATTTTAAATTATAATTTATCAGGTGTCTGGAGTCCCTGTGGTGACATCCACAGTCGGACCGGTGTTTCTTCTGTACAAAGAGGAGGCGAACAATTGGGACTTCGAAGTGCAGATCAACTTACCGGACAACATTCCTCACTACGTTTCACTAGTCCTGCGCGCTCTTCTGTCCACCAGTCAATATTTCTTATTTTCTCCCATTTTTCACTTCATCCAGGAGCAGTATGACTTACATGGTCTCTCGATCCCTGAAACTGAAAACGACGGCAGCCTACCGTTCTCCTACTACTACCGACACACAATCGTCATAAACCAGGGTCTCCCGCAGCTAAACTTACGAAACATCAGCAAACTCGACGAACCCGACAACATCTTCTACACCGGTTTTCGACCAGACAAGCACCTGTACCCGAAAATAGAGGAAGAAGCCCTACTTGAGTTCATCCGAAAAGACAACAAGACCATCATTTTCGTCAGCTTGGGTACCGTTTTCGACATCGGTGAGAAACGTCAACTTGATTTCTTAGCTGAAATTGAGTCACAAAACGAATTCAAATTTGTTTGGGCCGTTTTGGATAAGTACACCGAAAAGCTGCGACAAGCTCAGAAAAACGACAAAACCCTTTTCATCGGTTCCTATTTACCTCAGGGAAGTATTCTTATGGAGGATAATGTCAAAGTCTTTTTAACTCATTGCGGCGCGAACTCAGTGCAAGATGCTATCTATGCTGGTAAACCTATGCTCACTTTTCCTGGTTTCGGAGACCAGGTTGTCCTTTCAAAACGGATCGTAGCTCTCAAAATGGGCATCCGCCTGAAAGAACTGACCCAAACGCAAATGAAAATATCCCTGGACCAAATTTTGGAACCCAGAAGATACCTGGAAATGGGTCGAAACCTGGAACAAAATAAGGATCTCATGATGAGTTTGGGAGGGAGTCAAAAATCTGCCGACGTAATTGAGCAAACTGAAAATGGCACAATTCGAGTGAATAGTAACGTGTCTTTAAAACTGGGTAGCTATTACTACGTAGCCCAAGCGGCAGCTGCTTTCTTATGTTTTATTATATTATCCTTTTCTGTAATTGTGACTTGGTCATGTACGAAAATATTCAAGAAGGTCAAACGAAAAATCAAATTTGATTAGACATTAACTGTCCAGTTATTTCAATAAATGCGTGCCATTCCTGTTAAATATCGAGCAGACAAACTTTTGCAACAAATAATCTTTACCCTATAACTAGCAACTATGAAAAACTTACGCGAATAATCATCACGCCTAGTCAATTTTTGTTATTTGTATGTTTTAAACGTTTTTCTTTCTGTTTAAGAATTGCTTTCATTTTAAGTTTGTGTATATTTCTATTTGATGCTGATGCTTCAATTTCTCAGTATTGGCTAATTCTACCCATTTTAACAAAGTTGATCGAATCTTAAATTTTTCCACTATGGACTCTCATTTTTAAGTTTTAATTGAAATGTCTTGATCAAATTTATCCGATTAGAAGAGTATTACAATACGGAATCGTTTTTCATTTCGCTATTTTATTCAGTACCTTTTGCTTGGGGCTACATTTAATAGTCTTTGCGCAATTCTTTGAACAACCATTTTCACTTAGTTTCGAGCTATTTCGTAGTGCTCTTTACATTGTTCAATTCATCAATATTGTTTGCGAAACTCATTCTATTAAATTTTCTTAGTCCCTTTCTATTTTCACTGATTTCAAGCAGGGATGCCAAAGTTTCTATTAAATGTTAATTGAATATTTCATTCATCTTTTTTCGGGAAAAAAACGGTCAGCTAAAATTAACGGTCAGCTCAAATAAATATAAGAGTAGAAAACAGTGGGTGCTATACTCTTGTGCGCAAAGGACGCGCAAAAAATCTCAAACAAAGAGAAAACATCAGCAAAAAATAATATTAAAGCGAACATTTTTTTTTCGCTGACTGCGAGATTCGAACAACAGGTTTCGAGTAATTTGTATTCTCCTCTGACCCATTCGCTTCGCTGATTTAAAAAACACGTGCTTTTCAATCGCACTATAAGAATTTGAGCAGTATAAGATATGGTGAAAATAAATACAAACAAGACTGCTCGTATCAGGGCGAAGCCCTGAATGTTCCGACTGCCTTTTAAGGTTTATGGAGCAGTAATAACACAAAAATTCAATGAAATAAAACAAAATGATCTAAACTCTAAAGTACAAAATGATCACACGCCATGTAAAGTACAAAAGGATAGATTTCGCTCCTTGTAACAAATCAATTATGGCAAATAGGCTTCCTTCAAACAATTTGGAACGATTTCGAACACGGATTAACTCTCCGCTTACGCGTTAATAGCGCGAAATATATCGCGCGTTAATTGTCCCAAATTGGCCGAAATGCCAATCTTTAAAACGATTACAAAAAACGATCACAGGTGAAATATCTTTTCAAATTTGAGCTCAAGACAACAATACCTTTTGAATGATATAAAAAAATCCGACAAAAATGGCTTAGTTAAAAAGTCGAAATTTGTATGAAGAAAAAAAAACCCACCCCGAGCACAAATATTCCGTTACTTTCGTATCGAAAATCGGAACAAAAAGTGCGGCTTAGGTTGGGAAAAAGTGAAATTGTATGAGAATAAACGTTTGTTTTTAAAATAAGATAAAATAAACAATTGTTGGAAAGGAAAAAATCATCACTGAAATTAAGGGCGACACTAAATTAGTCTAAAACGGAAATATTGAGATCGGTTTATGCAAGAATTTTTTTCAATAGCTTTTAAAATCTCAATTACGACTGACCTAAATCCGCCCCTGCCTCTACGTAAAGTAGCTAAAATTGACCGAAAAAACGCCAATAGCAGGCCCGATTAGTTCTGCCGAGAAAATCAGTAAAAAAATCTCATACACATTGTCGATTTTGATAATCAAATTTTCTGCGATTAAATAAATACCGAAATATGAAAAACTCCAACCCATAGTAAATTTGCTTTCAAGAAGGGAACTTGTTTATTTTTTTATTTAAAAAAATTATTTAAAAAGACTGTTTATAAGTGATAAGATAGAAAGAACAGAGAAGTTAGCCTTTTTTTAAACATCAAAAAGTGCAAAAACTTGATCTGGAGCTTTTCTTGATTTCGTTAAAATCAAAATTCACTTGGTTCAATTTATAGTTAAAATAGGTTGTTCATTTTTGGCGATTGTCAGTTCTGATTTCTGACTTTGAAAGCAGCAAGCATACAGGGTTTCTGTTCGCCGTTGAAGACGGTCTGTAATCGTGGTACCTAAGCTTCGTTTAAGACTCGAAGCAGAAGCTGCACAAGGTAAGTATTTTCTATTTAATTGGGTATACAGGAAAGTTATACAGGCTTTGCATTTCAATCCATCTAATACTCAGATAGACGGACATTTAAAGTGATGACGTAAAGATCACGTCCCTGTACCAACTTAAACTTCGGATGGATACGGAACCGCAATCGAGAGAGCAATTTCATTATGTAGAGTTAATGTTGTTCGGTCAAATAATTGAGAAAGAAATCGATCTACAAAAGGCTTAAATTTGAAATCAGACTAGGAAATAATAGAATAAATACACTGCTTTCTATAGAGGTACGATAACCGCTATCTAGAACAACCAGGTACGAGATTCACTACCCCTATTTAAGCGGTAACTGAATGAGCGAATACATGAGACGTTGGCCAAATAACAGCCAGAAAAATGGCGAAACATGGGGAAAAGTACAAAAAGAAAGCAGTATTTCGAAGACAGTCAGAATGTAAATAATTTTTTCATCAATTACGGTAGGTCAATACAACCTTAATACGAAAAAAAAATTATAATATTCACTGAATTCCAGTCGAAGCAAAGCACCCTAGAAAATAAAACACCTGACCTCACCAGTGTAAAACATAGCCAACAGACGGTTGGAACAGAGTCAATGAACGCAAGTAAACAAAAAAAAATTGACTTATTTCGTTGAAGAGTTCAAATTTCAGACACACAAGTATGGGCCTTTAAAGTTTTGAGAATTTCAAGAACAACTTATGATTGAAACTTTTTTCATGAAATCAACTCATTAGAGAAAACTGTATCAATAGGTTATTTTTTATTCCGCTGTGAACCTTAATTTTAAATAAACTGTTTAAACTAGAAGTCGATCACATTTTTTGTGACCTTTCTGCTCACAAAAGAGTTAACAAAGAAAATAAACTGACCTTGAAAAGACACCAAAAGTCAAAACGCAAAAAAAAAATAAAATTGAGCGTGAACCAATGTCCTGAAAAAAAGCAAAAAAATGACATATAAGAGTCTTCACTACGTTCATTGACTCTAAAAAGTGAAATAAAGAAAGAAAAGGTGAGCAAAAGACTTGAAAAATAAAACTTTTGCTATCTGAAGGATTCACTCCCGCCACCTAAAGATAAACAGCCTCACGTCCTCGCATCACAGCCACCGTCTCTTGACAATTTGCAAATACAAGCCACCAATCAGTAAAGCAAAAAGAACAGATGCTTTTAAATAGATCATGCTCATGAAGCAAAACTGCTCACAAATGAACATTTTTATTTGCGAATTCAGCTGGAAAAGTGGATTCATAAGGTAACAGTACGCTGGCTAAAAAAAAACAGCAACTACCTTCATATCTTCTAACAAACTCGCTTCTAACAGTCTTCGAGCAATACTTGGCTGGAGACTATGTGATGCAATCACATCAACTCGCTACTTTTTTTTTCTGAAATACGCCTGGTTAGTACTTAAAAAAGCTAGGCGCTTTTCCATTTCCCTCCCCATATATCAATTTCGAATTGCACTAATACTACTGTCATATTACGCGTGAAAAAATTATAAAAACAAGAAACTAAAAAGTGGGGGTAGAAGTGAAAAAGACCTGATCGCTGTTGATTTGACGTGGAAATGTGCTTTGCAATCTTGCTCGAAAAGCAACATTCTTAAAGAAAAAATTCGAATATATGATATGTAAATTCCATGATTTCTATAAACATTCCATACTTATTGTGAAGTAAATCAAACGAACTTTTTGTAAAATGAATAGGAAATAAGCTCGCTACTTGAGAAAAAAACCTCGTTTAGATCATTGCAAATCTTGATTCTTTCAACATAAAAAAATTCGCAGGCAAATTAAAAGCTTCATTTTACAAACATGACTAGACGAAACCTCCATTTTAAATTTGCTAGCAAGTGAAGACTTAAGCAATAAGAAACGTAAGTGCGCAAATAGGAAATATACTCTGCAAAAAAATGACTAAATTGCTAGCACCATAAAACTCAGTGAACTGAATACTAATCCATTTTGTTGAACTTAGATGTCCATTCGAAAACTATAACCCATAAATTTCCTCTGACTTCTAACTTTACCACGCACCCCATTGTTCCCAAGCCCCGCCTCCGTCCGACCGTTTGTCTGTATTATTTGTTTGGTTGCTTAAACTGACCCCCGAAGCGCCAAAAGATGGTTTGCTTTCTTCTTTCTCAAGCTGAGATAGAAAGTCGTCTTCTGATTTCGGTTTCATCTTATTTGAAGCTAATGCTGTTGATTTAGGCGGCAGTAGAACTTTAGATTTGATTGCTGTCACTGGAAAAGTAGGTTTTGTATCTTCCAACTTAACTGATTCTACTGTTTTAGACTTCGTAAAGTCTTGTTGGTAATTTGATTTGCTCGCTAACTTGGACGATTGTGTAGATAGATTTGATCTTGTTGTGCTATTATCAATAAATGCGCTTGGTGTTGAAAATGGAGTTTTGTTCGGAGTTGAAAGCGGGGTCAACTCAGGTTTCGAGGAGCTGCCTTCAAAATCTTCCCAAGGATCCTCGCCCTCGTCATCGCCATCATTCCAATCATTTTCTTCCTCCCATGCATTAGAAGTAGGCTTACTTGTCACCATTTCTCTGCTTTGAGAGTTTGGCGCAGATGAAGATATTTTGCTTTTCAAGTTTCTCTTGGAAGTTATTTGTTCGTTCTCTAACATTCTTTCAAAATCATCGTCATCATCATCATCATCCCATCCACTCGTCGCGATATCAACATTTTCTAATTTTTGAGAACCCCCTATTGTCAAACCACCGCTTAACTTTGAGGTTTCACGGCTACTCATTGGCTTCAAGCCGGTCGCATCTTTATCATACTTGCTATTCTTAACATCTTCCCTTGGTTTGCCAGCTGTAACAACGGATCCGTTTTGGGCCTGGCCCGGATTCGAACCTCTGTTGTCTCCCATACTTCCAGCAGACGACTCACCGCCACTTATTGCACTGTTGCCAGACCACGAGCTCAAAACCCACCCTGTAAAACTCTTCAAGTAATCTTTGTTTGTACTACTGTGACTCACAGTCCGATTAACGTCTATCTCCATTTCCTGGACTTTCTCCGGCTTCTCGTGAGCTTCTTCCAGTCTTTTGACCATCAAGTTAACAGCTTTGAAAGCTTGTTCCCTAACTGGTTTTTCCGGATCACATGTCAAAGGTGAAACAGTAGGTAGACATCTACAAGCAGTATCTTTAACTGTGAAGTATTTTAAATTGGCTAGAATCGCCAGAATTCCCGCTATTCTGGAAGGCGGAAACGGATCGCGCATCGCTTTTCCACTGGCAGCCGGAAGCACTTTTTGGCGCGTTGCCGGATCCATATACCCCGCTAACTTCCCGATGCAAACTGTTGTATTAGTTCGGATCCCGGCGTGTTCGTCTTTCGCCTGAATTCTCGCAAAATGTCGCATTAAATCGTCGTTTAAGTTCTTATTACTCAATTTCGGCGCCACAAAAAGCATCGCTTTTACTGTCTGTTCCCTTACCGTGGGATTTGTGTCCATGAAACCTTGTACTATGTGGGGGTAAATATCATTGTTCACGGTTGAACTCTTCACATGTTCAATGTAGCAGTCAATTTTGATCAGCAAATTCATTCTTGTTTGCCTGTCAGGGGACGAAAATAGTTTCACTACAACAGGAACAATCTGAGACTCATAGTCGAAGCTTTCCAAACTTTCGCCAATTTTCATCAAAGAAGGCAGAATTATTGATCCAAAGGCAATATTACTCGTCACGGTGTCTAACATAATAGGCAGTATTTTGTGCACTAAGTAACATTTTGGAAAGGAGTCTAACTTCTCGTGTAGAGATTGGAAAAAGTATCGCTTTTCTTCCGTGTTTTTGATCGATATCTCATCCAAAAACATATTTGATTTGACTAATACGTTAGTCATGCAACCTCCTGGAAGTAAGCTTTGCTCATTTAGCAGCCAAGGTGACAACCTACTCGCTGGGTTTGTTGTGGTCAGAGTTGAGAAGATATCTTGCAAGTTCTTTGGAACCTTGCCTGGGTTTTTAACAGATTGCGGTTTAGTCATTGGACCATTGAAAAGTTCCCACAATACACATCCAAGGCCCCATGAGTCTGTTGCATGTAATGCACGTTTATTCAAACCCCCTCTTGACTTTTCAGGGGGGTCGTAAATTTGTAGCGACGGTAGCTTAGATGGAAATATTTCCGTGTCTTTTTTCATTAGGAACTCAAACCCACCTAATTTCCATTCTCCGCTTTTCGTCACAAAAATTGAGTTCCAATTCACGTTATTGTGAATCATATTACATCGCTGTATAATAAACTCCAAGGCTGTGCAGACTTGATTGAGCCCTAGCGTGACCTCCTCTACCGAAAGGTCATTGTCCATTGCATATTGACTCAAACAAGTCACTGGTTCTGTAGCTACACATATCTTATCCGGAGCTTCAATTCCGTCTACGAATGCCAACAAATTTGGGTGTCTCAGAGTTTTGAAACTCCTAAAACATGCTTTCATTTGCTCACTCCGTTCTGGATTTAAACTTTTCAGCTCGCACAGGAATAACGTGGCTTTGTCGTACGGGACAGTTTTTTTCTTGCCATTAAATACTTTCCAGAGGGTTTTGTCATTTAGATAAGTGACTTCATCCGTAAATTCGAACTGAAATTGTGCTAAGGCGTCACGTGAAAAGTATGACCACATTTCATTGAAAGAATCTGAAAAAAAAACTAATAGATTCTTCATTAAATTAAAACCTCATTTTTTCGGAAACAGATCAAAGAAAATTTAATGGTTCCTGTGCAAGTAGCACAGAAGGTATCGACCAACGTCGTTCTTGAAAAACAAAATTATTTCTATTTAATTTTTTTTCTGTCTTTCAAATTAGTGTACTTTTGCGCGTGCAAAAAAATAGGAGCAAAACTAAGCTTTGAAAAAAGTGGCTCCAGTTAACTACAGTTATTGTTACAAAATTCACATAGAGTCGAAGAGGGGCTTCGAAACACTTGTGATACAACAAAAACATGGCTTGTTGTATACTAGCGAGCAGAATATTGTACGGAAGCTAATATATCGATTTAAAAACTTACAAGTCGAAAGAACTCTTATCGACAAAAATTTGAAATGTTTTCAAAATTTAAGGAACATAGCCAACAGACTGTTGAAAAAAGTCTGAACTCAGAGAAACAAAATAAAAATTAACTTAATTTTTCAAATAAAAATCAATTTTCGGATGTTTTCAAAGTAAAAAATGTATGGTTTTACAAATCTTTGAATTTCAAGATCAATTTATGATTCATGCATTTTTGATAAAATCTACTCAATTTGAGACAAATCAATTTTTTTATTCCGCTGGGATATCTGAAAATTAAACTCCATTTTCAAAACTAAAAATCGACTACGTTTTTTGTGACCTTATACTTTTGCTGTTCGGTAGTGGAGTTTGTCTTATTTTTCACCAAAAAAATGAACTGATTTTTAACAAAGAAAATAAGTAAAACCACGAAAAATCTTGTCTAGCGTGAGCAGAGTACAAGATTTTTTCTGAAATAGCATAAACATCATCACACCTGTATAAGAGTCTAAGTTACGTTCATCTTTTATTTAAAATATGTCGAGAAAAATATGATATCGAAAAATCTTTGAAGCAAAAAAGGAAATGATTGAAACCAGGGTTGGTAAAATTACAAAGCGTCTATTAATCGAAACGGCTTTTGAATACAAAGAATAAATCTTTAATCCTAAGAAAAGTCAGCAAGGTGGCAACCCAGCCAACAAAGACTAAGCAAACGGACAAAAAATTTTCTATTTCCATAGTGAAATGTTTCAAGTTGTGAAAGAGCAGGTCCTGTCCCGACTCAATCTCAAAAACTTTGCCGTTCCAGAACAGACGTTACAGCCAGGTCAAGAAATTGAACTTAACTTCAAGTTTCATGAAGTAAACGTTCGAAATTATTCAATGATACTGTCAGACACGCTGTAAAATGGCGAAAAGCTATGTGCCGAATTTATCGCTATATTCAAGCTTCAAAACTGATTTTCAAGCTAAAAAAAATTTTCATAACTCAATGAATAAAACTTAGAACACTTTTTGGATATTTTCAAGTCTATCAAATCACGATTGAACGGGAATTTAATATGATCGATCACTCGACCCCATCTAACGTTTGTGGGTGGCAGCTCATTTTACGTTGAAAAATAGAAAAGCATAGCCAACAAAAAGTTTTAAAGTTAATGAACGAGAGGGAACAAAAAATGAAAAAAACTTCAACTTTCGAATTTCAAAGAAAAAATTATATGACCTTGAAGATCTTTGCATTTCAAGAAAAATTTATGATTGACACGCTTTTTGATAAAAGTAACCCAATTTGAGAAAACTTGATCAGCAGGTAGATTTTTTTATTCCGCTGGGAACTCTGAACAAAAAATACCTTCTCAAAACTAGAAGTCCATCACGTTTTTCGTGAACTGAGCAATTTTGCTGCTCGACAGTGGAAATTATCTTCCATTTAACAAAGAAAATGAACTGAGCTTGAAAGTTACTCAAAAGTAACACCGCAAAAAAATGATCAACAGCTATATAAGAGTCTTCGCTATGTTCATTGACTCTTAAAAACTGAAACAAACCCGAATACAAAAATTCTTCCCAGTTTCAGTGGTTGAAATAAAACCATCTGTCAAAAGTTTTCTCAGACAGCTCATGTTTCAAAAATATCACTTTGGGCAACCATTTTTCAACAAAATATTGGCTCAACGGCATTTTTTAAGTAACATTCAATAACTTTGCATGTCTGTTTCGCAAAAATAAAAGAAAAAAAATCTTTTCATTTTAGCATTAGCGTGTATACCCCAATTAGGACCAAGAAAAAATTTGGAATATGTCATTCGACACAGAAAACCTAACAAAGATTTTTTAAAACATCGCTCAAAAATGATTGAATTGTTAGTACCTAATTTAAGCTAAATAAAATGAGATGCAATCAACGTACAAACACACAATATTCTGTCAGCAGAGTTAGTTTTATCAACAATATCAATAGTAATTAAGTACAAAGTATGAAGACAACGATGATGACGATGATTTTGAGGTTCAAAAAGTTGACTGCTGGGACAAAAAAGTTCTGATCAGCTGAAGTAGTTCTTTCTTCACGTTGTCGGGTACAAGTGCTCTTCCTTTTGGGGTTATTTCGGCCACCAGATCCTCAACCTATAAACAACATGAGTGACTACTAAATAGCTCAAATGCTACGTTTACGACGAGTGTTACAGTACGTTATAACCTGCTTCAAGTCTTCGATACAAAAAATACTGACTTAAAAAGACCGCGTAGCTATGTTTTTACATGTTGACAATACAAAGAAGAATCATGTCAAACAGACTAAGGGCAAATTATAAAGTAGACATAAGTCCCATGGTCTGTCCTCTCCGGGTCTCTCTTCATAAAGTAAGGTGCTAGAATATTCTTTGCTTTTATTTTTGTTAAAGCTTCTTGCTTTGGAATTATTTTGAGAAATAAATTTCTTTCTTCTTTCTTTCTTTCACACTATAAAAATTGATTTTAACTTTTGTAAAGTATTCAACTGTTGCAAAGTATTCAACTTTTATTTAATACGTATTTATTCTACAAGTACCTCTGAGATAGAAGCGGATTTAGAGGAGGGATAGAAAGAGGGGGGGGGGGGGGGAGATGCTCCTGTTCCTGTTTCAGAAAGACAATCAATTACCTTAACGTTCTCGAGTCCCTTCTCTCTCACGACGTCTTTGCAGTGTGCTTTCAGTTGGTCTCGCCATCCACACTCAATCAGTCGCTTTCTCAGTTCGTTCTTGAGTCTCTCTCGCTCGCCCGACTTGACTAGTTTCTCATTGATTTGCGCTCTCAACTGAGCATCCTTGGCTCGCTTGTCACCAAAATCCGCCATAATATCTGAAAATAAACACATGCAGTTCAGATTATTTGGATTTGGCTTCGTTATTCTGAAACTTCGTCCATTACATGACTAAATGTCATTCCGAGTACTTCATTAAGGAGGAAGAAACTATGACACAGAAGTGTTTTTGAAGCTATTCAGGTTGCCTCAAAAAACGCGCGGAGGGCATCAAATGTGACATTAAAACAAAGCCATACCAGCCGTGCTTAGGCTTCCAAAAATATCTTTGTTTCGAGAAAACCTGACTCGTTTTTTGAAAAAATCTCAGCCTTCGAAATTCGAAGAAAAAAAATAGACGAACTTAAACTTTTTTGAATTTCAAGAACAATTGAAAATTGACAATTTTTTCATTAAATTAACCCAATTTGAGAAAACTGGATCAATGCGTATAGAGTTCATTTCGCAGGGAAATATGATAATTAAATTTCACATTCGAAACTAGAAGTCGAACATGTTTTTCGTGACCTTTACAATTTTGCTGTTCGATAGTGAAGTTTGCCTTCCTTTAACCAATGGAAATGCACTGATCAAATTTTGGACTTTCTAATAAAAAAAAATTGATAATTGATAAAAGTTGGTAATTTAATTCTGATAAAAGTCTCAGTAAATTGTACCAGTACAACCCTCCCGTTTTTGGGAGCGCAGAAAGCAAAGAACGCTTAGAATTTATTTGCCTGATATAGTCCTCAAACATTTGTTCTTCGTAACTTAAAAAACAATAAGAAAGGAATGGTTTCAATTATTGCAATACAGATATGCTTACTCTAAAGTTGGTCAGTTGAAAATGATGTGCAGGGAAAACTAAACTAGGTTTCCATTCGAACCAAAGTTTTGCAATCATATTGCAAAGGTGATGACAAATTGACAACTATACAACCCTCTTCTACTACTTGTGTAAAAAATACATTGTCGAGTTACTCTCAACGGCTCTCGTCTATGTTTTGATCGTTCATTGAGAGCGCAAAATAAGCACCTCCCAGGACCAAACCCATATACGACTGTGCAAACAACGCCACCACCATCAGAACTTCATTGTCCACATACGCTGGCATCATAGTCAACATGTATTCCACGAAGAGGAGCGGAAACATGACCACGTACTTCACTTGATGCGGGTTCGACAAAGACCCAATTGACATATTGACTCCAGTTAAGACCAGAAGGTAAAAATTGAGTCCAATTGGAACCACAATGAAGGGTACTTCCCAGTATAGAGGAGCATACCAGCATATATTTGTAGAAGTATACAACCAGAAGAGTCCGAAACGCCCCATAGACATCATAGCACCAACGAGAGTTACAAGGAGAGGTGCAACCCAGCTTGACATCATGTAGAGAAACGGAGGCATCAAATCACGACGCTCCAGTTGCAAATCGTAACCCATCACGAAAACCCACATAAACGCCGAATCTTGACAGAAATGCATGAAGGGTGCTAAGACACTGCAACGAGTGAAGAACTTAACACAATGGAACCCTTGTTTAAACCAAATGAATATCAAAACAATCATCGCGTTTGTCTCGAACGAGCTCGTTTTCCTGTCATTCATAGCTGATCTTTTCAAGACGATCAGAATGGCAAAGAAAACAAACGAGAGAGCCCAACCAGTAAAATACGCAATCTTGATAACCAGTTCATGGCTATCTTTGTTGAATTTGCAACCTAATGGTTGCTCGCGAATTTCAAAATCATTAGAGTGAAAAACTTCCTTGGCGAGTCTTTGAACACAATTCGGAGTTTTCGACACAGACCAACATAGATCATCAAGAGGTAACATATCACAGACGTCCATTTCGTACAATCTCGAATTCTGTCCGAACGTCATCCGCATTTTCTCGCCCGGCAGAACTTGAATACTGTATCGCTCTCCATGTACGGTCAAATTCCATTGCTCGCTTCTGTCGTTTGCATCTTCTAGAAGTTTTAGTTCTGCATTGTCTGACATCCAGAAATAGGAAAGCCCTTCCAGACAGCTTGTCAACCCTGAAATGTTCAATTATAAGACAATTATGGGTTTGATTTCTTGACTTACGCACGGTTTGACAAAAATGGATGAGATCTATGGACACTTCGGACAAAAAGCTTTTACCGCCGATTCGCAATTTCAAAAAATGTTAAGTACAAACCTGCAGTGTCAGAGCGATTTACAGCACACCGACGCACATATGCTCCTGTCTCGACATTAATTCGGAATAAACTGTCACAACTCTTGGCCATTTTATCCCACATCTTCGCCACCTTAAGAAAAACGTAAGAAATGTACGTAATATATTGAAACTGAATTGACTGAACTAATATGTTAACAGGATCACAAGGTCAGATTTATGGGTTTAGAAGGGGAATGCAGACACCCCTCTCTTAATAATTCGATCACATCACAATCACAGTCCTTTTTTAAGCAATCCATTGTTGACGACACAACCATTAGAAACCAACACTCATCCCCTCTTTCTCTGCAACATTGAATGGGTAGCGATTAAAAACAATTTTGTGGCTTACCTGTTGGGACACTTTTCTGTCTCTTGATTGGGGAGGGGGTCCAATTGAGCCCGTCTCACAAAAGTAAGAAACATCCCAGAGTCTCACTTCTTTGAGAGACATGCCATTGCACACTGCACAGAAGGAATTCATGTATGACATGCCTAAATAATAAATTCTCATCATAAAAAAAGACTTCTGTCATTTATTTATTATCCAATTAATATGTCGTTCAGCTTCATAGTGGAAATCGTTTAGTTGGTTGTAAGTAAGAGGGAAACGTTCGTTTGATTTTCTTTTTGAAGTGTTTTCAAGTCGAAACAAATCCAATGCAACTAACCCGAATTAATGTGAACAACTGGAATAGACTCTAATACATCTCCAGTTCTCACTGCTGATCCATTGCACATCTCCCGGCCAAACGAGCCCACTCCAGTGAGTGACCAAGTAATGTTCAAGTCTGGACAGGAGTTCACGACGTAGAAGCGATTGTCCCAGTCGTCGGCTGAACAGAAAATTTTCAAATGAAAGGAAAAGAAAGATAAGCCATGCTAAAACAATGATTTTCTCCTCTCAACACTTTTTATCCCCCACCCACACACCACGTTTACAAAATATCCATCAAGAACAATAATTTATTTCTCATAGCTACAAATTACATTACATACTTCAAAAAAATCACAAGCAACATATTAACAGTAAATTGAAACTCGGAGTGGACAGCTGACGAACCCATTGGGTTGGGATTACTGGGTATAGGTTATAACGAGGAAAAAAGGAGAGAAAAAAGAGAAGGCAAAAACTAAAACTTCAACTACTTGTAAAATTTTTCATAGTAATGCGATCTTCTGACATTGCCCAACATGATGAGTTTTATATCCAATTGGTATAATCTAATTCGAGAACAGATAATTTTTTTGCTTTAAAAACCCGTTTTGGATGTCGCAATTCTGAAATCTCGCTAGTCGTAGCACCTACTAGCCGGTTCAATTACGAAACTTGAACTTGTTCACTTTGAACTTACTGCCTCTACTAACTGTGGCATCCCCTAGAGCCCCCATAGCACCAATGGTACTAAATTGATTACTTACTGGCGCCTGCAAAATCTTGGGCGCGGTCGGAATAACAACAACAACCAAAAAAAGGTCAAGTTATCAGTACTTTTGAATAGTTGGCTAGAAAATCAGTCAGGAAACTCAATGAACATACCTTCATTGCAATTCAGTCTATCTTTCCATGGACTACGTTCAGTTTCGTCACCCCCAACATCGTTCGGTTCAAGGGTCAGACCAGACACCGATTGGTTGAGACTGACGACTGTCGCATTCTCAGCAAGTGCACACAACGTCGAGAAATCAGAACAGCAGTCTTCAAATCTGAAAAATATATTTATTAAATTTAGTTAACAGGTTGCAGTAAAGTCAGCAAAAAAAGTTTTGAACGCTCGTTTTACACAAATAAACAAGGATAGCAAGTTACTGTGCAAGTACCACAGAATGTTCCGACCATAGTCTTTAGAAACTACAAAAAAATATTAGTGCAGATTTTTCTGCGTGGTGTCATAAAAGGATCTGACGTAGAAATATAATTTAGGCATATTCGACAGTCATAGTAAAGTAGGCAAATTGGAAAAAAAATTGTAAAACAAATGAAAAAAAAATTCTGTTCAATATTCTTTTTAAAAACTTGCTTCCAAAAATGGCGTTGAACACTCCAAAAACGAATTTTACTTGCTTGAAGATAATTTTTTGGGGCTTAATTTAAGCATAAATAAGCCTAAGCCTGCTCGCTCGCTTTTTTGCTCGAAATTGAAATAAAAATCAACCAGTTTTTCTCGGTGCTTCAAAATTGAGACGCAGATTGAAAATATTGCTTGAGATTGAAATTGAGACGTTTTCTAGGTTACAGGAACTTTCATTTGTCCAGCATCATTCCGAAGCAGTATAGGACTAAAATTTACGTTTTTAGGACTACAGGACAAAAACTTTATTTTAGGGAGTGATTGGAACAAATACAAGCACAAAAAAATTCAACGATAAAAATGAAGTCAAGCGATTAAACTGATAATAATTTTGGGGTAAAACTGCATGCCAAACTTGTACTCTGATTTTTTTCTATCTATGTTTCTTTCCTCTATTTTCTGTCTATGTTTCGTTATTCAGATATATTTCCGAGATATAACAAAAATTCGACGCGACGGATTTTTATGATAGCAGCTATAATATATCTGAACTGAAAATTATAATTTTTTTCTAATTGTTCCGACTTTCGATACTAAATTAACGGAATATTTGTGCTCGGGTGGGGTTTTTTTTTCTTCAGACAAATTTCGACTTTTTAACTTGCCTTTTTTGACGGAACTTTTTTATATCATTCAAAAGGTATTGTTGTCCTCAGCTTAAATTTGAAAAGATATTTTACCTGTGATCGTTTTTCGTAAAGTTATGAGGGTTTAAAGATTGCCATTTTGACCAAGTTGGGACAATTAACGCGCGATATAATTCGCGCTATTAACGCGTAAGCGGAGATTTAATCCGTCTTATAAATTGTTCCAAATTGGTTGAACGAAGCTTATTTGCCATAATTGATTTGTTACACGGAACGAAATCTATCTTATTGTACGTTATATGGCGTGTGGGGGGATGGTTTTTATAAAAAACTTCAAATTTTAGGGAAAAAAAATTTCATTTCATTTAATTTTTTCATGTTATTACTGCTGCTCAATAAACCTTAAAAGCCAGTCGGAACATTCAGGGCTTCGCCCTGATACGAGCAGTCTTGTTTGTTTTTCTGGCCACTTCAGAAAGCAAAAAAAAAAAATTTCCTTAAGTTTATTTTAATACCCGTTTTGACTACATCAAGGAAAGCTTGTAAGGATTAAGTGGGGTATCATTTTAAAGACCCTTCAGCCGTGATAAAGAATCATGCTTTACATACTTGATAAATGGGTCTGTCTGAATTGTTACGATTTTCAGATGAATTTTAGGAACCTGGGTGACACTTATTATGTTCTACTGCAGATTTTACGTTTTACCTGTAATTACCTCTCATTCTGCAGTTTTTTAACCTAAATTAATCGCTTTTAAATTAAAAAAAAATGAACAAGACATTTATTTAGAAAATTAACTAAGGTTTTGAAAATTTTCACTCATTTTAGAACTTATTCACTTAAATCATGATGCTCGAAACATTTTGTGCAACTTCCACAGCAACTGACTATCCTTGTTGATGCTCAATAAACAAACAAGTATTCGGCTCACTAACCCGCTAGTGCTTCTAGTTTAAAAAGTGAATAAGATTGCTTGTATGATGACAAAGCACTGAATGTTTTGACTGCCGCATAGTATGAGTAGGTGTCCTTTTAGTAAATTTTCGCGAATCAGACAAGTAAGAACGAGTATAAATAGCAAATATAGCTAATAGACACTGGGAAAAGAGTCAATGAACGCAAGGAAACTTAAAAACACTGACTCGATTTTTAAAAAACTAACTCAATTTGAGAAAACTGGATCAAAAAGTAGGGTTACTGTTCCGCTGGGAAATCTGAAAATTAAAATCCACTTTCGAAATTAGAAGTGGATCACCTTTTTCGCGACCGTCACACTTTCTACTCGGTTGTGAAGTTTGCATTCCTTTCAACGAAGTAAAAGACCTGAACTAAAAACTTCTTTACTAAACAGTTAGACATTCAATATCTGACAAAAATATCAAGTTACTACCTCGGCTGGAGAAAATTTTGGAAACACAAAAAAATTTGGAAACTCGGATTATTTGAGACCATCCATGTCAACCTGATTATGGCCAATTCATAACTATTACTTACGCCATGCAGCTATAGTCGCAATAACAGTGGACCATGTTAGTAGCTGTCCGATCAGCTTGACCCAAACATTTCACATTTTCGAGGTCAAAATCAGAGCACAGCTCAGGGCATGATTCACCACTACTCTCAGATAAAATATGCAAATAGCCCAGTAAATTTATAAATATAACATATCGCGGCGCAAAATTATAATTGCAGAAAACGGTTCTCATTATTGATTGAAAAAGATGAAAAATGGAAAGGAAGTTTGCTGCGTATTCAATAGGAATTCAGTTAACTGAACACCGTTGGAATTAAAAGCAAACACGAAAATTATAGTTTGAAGTCGCGCAAACTCGTATTTCTCAAACAACACCAAGTCAGGAAATATGATGAAAATTTGTAGTCAGGGAAAAACTGATTGTCTCAAAACCAAACCAAAACATTGAAGGTTTCTTGTTTCTATTTTAGTCACAGTGGGCAGCAAAAAAAGTTGCTTTTTATTATCTCTATTGAAGCTACATTAAGCGAGATTGATTAGCTTCTTAAAAATTACAATTTTAATAAGTTAAGGGAGTTTAAATCGAAATTGGCACACATCGGTGACTTTATGGTTAGTGATGTTGAAACAGACAAAACGACTGAGCATTTACTACACGTCTGTTCAGTGCTATTTAATCTAGGCAATTTTTTAATCTTTCAGGGAAAGGGGAAGCGCAAATGAGCACTACTGAAAAAGTAATAATAAAAAGACAGGGTCGTTACTTTTTTAAAGAAACCAATATAATATCAAAGACTGCGGTAGAGGATTTAGAAAGGGGGTTTCAGCGGTGCGGACATCTCACTCCCCTCAGGGATTCGAGCCTTTGCTTCAAGGTCCCCCTTGGTGGTACATTTTAAGACATCAATTTTCGGCCACCGACCATAAAAATTTCCATACTGTTTTGAGAAAGCTCGGAAAAGCAAAAAAAAAGAGAGAATGAAAGAAACAAAGAATAAAAAAACAAGGCATTTCTTAATATGTACAATTGATCAACAATAAGAATTGTCAGGCCTAACACAGTAAATTGAAAGTGGAAAAATCAAAAGCGTTTCACGGTACCTTAATTAGAAAAGGATTTGATATTCCATGTCTCATCAAAGCTTAGCAGAACCCTAGAAATTTCAAGCAATTGTAAGTAATGTTTAATAAAAGGCTTTTAAAAAGGAAGCTAAGAAGTTGTTTTTAGTTTTTCAGGAAATAAATTAAACCAGTGGCAGGAATAAAACAAAAAAGCTGGCCTTTGAGTTTATACCCATGATTGAATTAAACAATAACTCCTCGTTAGTGTGATTTTAACTTGCAGTATTCATAAAGCTGCCATTTATTGTTTTGTTTTTTAACCTCACTAAGAACTATACTCTATAATAGTGTAACTCTTATCCAAGAATACAAGATAGCGTATTTTTTAGACAAGCTATCTCTGTCAATGTTACCGCCATTTTAAGTAGGACAATGTTAAATGCAAGAACCCTCTTAAGTTTATTGGCGAAAATAAAAGTTAAGTACATCCAAAACTACGCCTACGTACTTAGTAGTCACTGAAAGTACGGGCAAAAATCTATTTAAGTAATCGTAATATTAAAAAAATAATTGAAACAAAAACAAATATCACAACGCCGAGTTGATAATCATCGTTATCACCAAAATCATCTTTTATTTTGCTTGTTCAACATCACGACGACAAACCCGTTGGTATTACAATAACCAATCAACTCTAAATTTATATTTCACCATTTTCAAATCATTTCTCGGTAATTTGGTTGCATGGGGAACTTCACAAGAAGAAGAAGAAGAAAGAACACTTGAATTACTATACAATAAAACGCCGAGGCATCAGTGTAGCAAAGTGTAAATAATAAAATTGGTTATAAATTCATTGGTTACATCAAACAAAAACAAAACATCAGAAAACAAGCAATAAACAAAACAAAAAAAAACAAAATCGGTTACAGTTCGGAAATTGGTTGATTAAAGTATATGAAGTTTCGGATACTATAGAAAATTAAAGATTTAAGAATTAGGAACAAGCTGGTAATAAAACTTTACAAACAATTTTACAGATAGTCCAATTATACAACGTATATGCAGAGTATATACAGTTTCTCTTTCAAGCAATGTGTGAAAAATTAAACTGAATTAAAAAATATAGAACTAGCAAAAACGGTAATCACGCCACGTATTTGTATTAGTACATATAGGATTGTTTCTCAATTCACTCACGTAAAATTCTTTCAATTTTTTCTTGAATTCTGTTTTCGATTTTTCTAAATTGCGCAAAATTATGGGCAGTGAATTCCATTTTTTAGAAGTCAAATGAAAAAATGATTTTTGTAGAGAAGCAGTCGAACAATGTTTGTCAAAAATAATTTGTTTCGTTCTTTCGTTGAGCCTATAATTGGCAGTCGGTAGTCTCAGTGTATTTTCAAAAGCCTTCTTTTTGTTTGTAAGATATTGGTATAAGTATGTTATACACTTTAACTCAATTCTTTTCTCGATTCCAATGAACGATTTGCTAATGCGAAGAAGGGAAGAAGATTTAAAATTCGATCTGAAATATGTTCTTTTTAGCGCCCAGTTCAACTGTTTCTCCAGAGATAGCATCAAAGTAGCATTAATTTGTTGTAAAAAAATTGCTGAATAATCTAAATGTGATAAAACAAGACAATGAAGCAAGGCAACTAATGATATTGTCGGCAGTTGTTGTCCAATTGTATCAATAGTTTTAATCCCTTGGGCCATTTTTTGGAGAATTGTTTTGATTTGAGCATGAAAAGATAAACTTGAATCAAGAATTATGCCTAAATATTTGCATTCTGATTTTTTGGCTACATAATGCCCACTAATTACTAGTTTATCAGTATCCACATTTTTGCTATCATTTTTTTGACAAAATGTTATAAATTCCGATTTAGATGCATTCAGATTCAATTGGTTCTCTGCAAAAAATTCCGTTAGATTATTGAGTGATTTTTGCAATCGATTCAAAGCATCCTCAGAAATTATAGAAGAGGAAAAAACCATACAGTCGTCAGCATATTGAACTAAAGTACAACCCTCATATAATCGCTCTTGTATGTCATTAACATAAATATTGAACAACAACGGACCAAGTACCGTTCCTTGTGGGACACCTCGTTTTATTTCAATCCAGTCTGAAAAAATTCCATTGACGTTTACTCTTTGAATACGTTTGTTTAGGAAGCTAGCAATTAAAGCATTTGCTCCATTTGAAAAACCGAGAGAAAGCATTTTTTCAATTAAAACTTCATGCGAAATAGAATCAAAAGCCTTGGACAGATCTAATAAAGCTGCATGTACGATTTTTTTTGAATCTATTTGATTTCGAATACTTTCTGTCACATAAACAAGAGCATCTTGTGTTGAAATGTTTTTGCGAAATCCGATTTGAAATGGTGTCATTATTTGAAATTTGTCAAGATGTTCTGTTATTTGGGCATGTAAAATTTTTTCAAAAATTTTAGAAAAAGCACAAGTTATTGATATTGGCCGATAATTTTTTGCATCCATTGGGTCATCTTTTTTGAACAAAGGGGTTACGTTTGCTTTTTTCAGTTCGATCGGGAAAATGTTCTCATCTAAGCAAGTATTTATGACAAAAGTTAAATGTGGAACTATAACTGATTGACCGTCAATGATTGCCCAAGCAGGTACGGTACAAGGTCCGAGAGGTTTTCCAACATTGATTTTTCGAACTATATCAAAGCATTGCTTCACTGTAATGTGTTGAAAATGAAAAGATGCAGATTCAGAGGCAGATTTGTTGTAATTCGGAGGCTTTTTAGCGCCGAAAAATTCGCCTAAGTTTGAAAAAATATAATTTAAATGATTGGCAATTTTTTTGTCTTGGGTTATCATTTCACTGAAGGAATTTCGTAGAACTGTAATTCGATGGTTGCCAGAACATGTACCTCTAACTTGGTTAATATATTTCCATTTTTGTTGGATAGTGCTGAGAAGTGAAAAACAATTTTTTGAATGATCGAATTGTTTACTTCTAATCAATTTGCTCATTTGATTACGTAAAAACTGGTACTTTGACCAATTATCGCTTGTGCTTTGACTGCGATATGATCTGAGTGAATTCTGTTTCTTAGTCAACAATTGCTGACATTCTGAATCGAACCATTCCGTTTTCAACACGTTTTTTGGTTTAAAATTACGAACAAACTTTTTTTCGATAGGAGCATGTTGCTGTAGAGCACAAGAAATTAAATAAATCATCGTCGAGAACATGTTTTGTGCGTCTGTACATTGATATAAGAGATACCAAGGAAGAGCGGAGAGTGAATTGCAAAATTCATTTTTCTGATAATTTTTCTTATTGAAAGTCGTAATTATCCTCGGTAAAATTTTGCCGCATTTTATATCCGTCAAAATAAATGAAGCAAAATGGTCGATTTTATAAGGTGTATCAAAACAAAACTCAATGCCGTTTGTTTCATAGTCACTGATTATGTAGTCGATATGAGTTTTTGTTGAGGAACTAATTCTGGTCTCATCGTTTGGACAAAAAACCTTCAATCCATATGGAATAATTATAGAATCTAAATTTTCTTTTTCTTTGCTATCCAGATAATTTATGTTATAATCACCCAAAAGCGTAATTTTATTAGAAACTGAAAAAGCATTATCTATGTTAAGCGTTAATTGTTCCAAAAAATCAATAAAGTTTGATCTGCTTGGGTTATAACACAAATTAACTAACATTTTTTCTTTACTCGAAATGTTAAATGTAGATTTGCACTCAACCCACACTGACTCATATTTTTCTTTATCAAATAAATTTAGATCAGGCCTCAATTTCGGAGCCAATTTGACTGGTATATATAACAAAACGCCACCGCCTTTCTTTTTTACCGCTGATTGCCTATCATATCTGAACATCGCATGCGTTCTAGGTTGGAAATTCCATAAATTGTCACTATCTTCTTTTTTAAGCCACGTTTCGGAAATTCCTATAATTGTGTTTTCGCCCATATCATCAAGAAATTTTTTCAATTGCATCCGTTTTCTAATAATACTTTGAAAATTCAAATGAACAAATTTAAGATTTGCACAATTTTTTGAGCAGATACCGTAGACTGTTTCAATGGTTTCGATAGGACCAGGGTTTTTTTCAACATCCCCACTTTGGGTCAGTAACAACGCGAAAAGGAAAAGATGAGTCAGTGTGGTAGCTCTCCGCTCATTTATCCCACATTTCGTTGATAATATCTTTTGCTGGCAGCTTAGATAGCCCCAGTAAACAATAGTTTTTTCTTTAGTTTCCATCTGAGCCTTGGAAATTAAAAAAATTGCACAAAACAACCAGAATTTAATATTCAGCATAATAGGTTAAATAAATTAAATAATCGCCAAAGTTTGCACCAAGAAAAAATGCGAAACTAGTATTTCCTAAAAAATTTTGCACCATTTTGGAAAAATTGTAACATTTCTG